TGTCATGAATTTCAAGAGTTTTTTTCTCAGTTTTGACTTAATTTCTGTTGCCTCTTGGATCACATGATCTCTAGTCTGTGCTTGGAATAGGCAATCTAAGCTTTTATCATTTCTTCTAATAAACTAACACTTCTCATCTGGAGTTTGGTATCCTTTCTATCAGCTTGATGACATTTTTAATTGAAAACATTTGGGAATGGACTTTTAACATTGTACAATTGCTTACACATTCTTGAATGTGTATCTGTACTTCCTTATATAAAGTCAGTACACCTCTTTTAAGGATTTCTTTGAAAATTGTAAAATAATTGATTTCTAAAAAACAAAGTATCAACATCCATAACAATTCTTTTAGTTTACTTGATAATCTTGTAAGCAAACACTGAAGACTGAATCTTCTCAAAAATGGAAGCATTCTGTGCCTTTGCCAAAGTAGTGACGGAACCCTGCATATGGAATGTCCACCCCAATATTCATCACCCTCTGTTTTTATCATAGAAGTGGGAAATGCATTTAATTGAGGCACTGGCGCCTTTCAAAATGCATCTGCCTTCAATCAGAAATCATCTTTTGTTAATAGGATTTCTAAAGCAGGACATGTATTTCCAAACTGGAGGAAAAAGGTCTAAAACTACCAGAATTTCTTGGAGAGGTCAGGTAGTCTTTTGGACAAATTATATTTTCTCTTTGGGATTGTTAAGAGTAAACATTAATACATATAAAAGGTAGTTAAAGTCTATGGAACAATCAAGTTGTTGAGTTATTTTTATCTCCTGCTCTCTAAATGTGGAAACAAACACCTGCAATTGGTAAAAAGTTGTGCAAACTAACTCTTTCAGTAAAAATGTTATTCCAACTTCCTTGTCTGATTTTTTTTATTGAGACTACCTTATACTGATGCTCATTACTTATGTTCTTCTCTTTCCTCCTGCATTCAACCTTTCAAATCCTGTCTTAATTTTAAAGACTTCCAGTAGGTCACCCCTCCACTACCTTTTTTCAAGAGAGATCAGAATGGCAATCCTTTCCTGATGCTAGAAATGCATGGATATGTGTATCACCATGTAAATCTTTATACTTTCACCAGTTCATTGATATCTTTTGTTCTGTTCATAACATTATACAGTCTCCAGTTTTCTAAGTATGGTCTAGCCAAAGTTCAATACAGTTTTAGTGCAACTTTCTTATTTTTCAAATATATTCTGGACAAAATAAAACACAGCTTCACAGGTTAAGCTGCTGGAATTAGAACAGAAGTTGCTGGAAAAACTCAGCAGCTCTGGCAGCATCTGTGGAGATAAAGCAGAGTTTGCAATTTTTGTTTTTGTTCCTGATTTCCAGCATCTGCATTTTTATTTCTCTGCAGGAACTAGGATTCAGTTAATAAATCTGGTATTGTAAATTTAGTCTCGGGTGGCACAGTGGCTCAGTGGTTAGCACTTCTGCCTCATGGCACCAGGGACCCGGGTTCAATTCCATCCTTGGGTGACTGTCTGTGTGGAGTTTGCAGATTCTTCCCATGTCTGCATGGGTTTCCTCCCACAGTCCAAAGATCTGCAGATTAGGTGGATTGGCCATGCTAAATTGCCCATAATGTTCAAGGATGTGTAGATTAGATGTGTTAACCATGGGAAATTCAGGGATGCAGAGATACAGGGAAAGGATAGGGTGATGGGTCTGGGTGGGGTGCTATTTGGAGGTCAGTGTGGACTCAATGGGCTGAAGGGCTTGTTTCCACATTGTAGGGATTCTGTGAATAAAGGTGACCATGACAACTATCATTGTTGCAAAAAAACTACTAAGTTCACAAGTACCCATTTAAGCAAGAAAATCTGCCATTGTTCTATGGTCTGGTCTACATTTCACTCCAGACCCACAGCATTGTGGTTGACTCTTAATTGCCCTATGAAATACTTTGCCTTCAACCAGGTAGCTATTGGACAACAAATGTTATCTTTGCCAGAGACATCAATCTCATTAAAATATAAAAATGTAAAACTCCTCCTGGCACTACATCATAATCAGGACTGGATTCCTGCCATTTCCTGTCTTTTTTCCCCTCATAGAATCCCTGCAGTGTGATAGCAGGCAATTTGGCCCATCAAGTCCACACTGACCCTCTGAACAGCATCCCATCCAGACCCATCCCCCAACCCTATCCCTGTAATCCTGTATTTCCCATGCCTAACCCATCCAGCCTGCACGCTATGGGCAACTTGCATTGCCAATCCAACTAACCTGCACATCTTTGGACTGTGGGAGGAAACTGGAGCACCCGGAGGAAACCCACAAAGACACGGGGAGAATGTGCAAACTCCACACAGACAGTTGCCTGAGGGTGGAATTGAACCCAAGTCCCTGGTGCTTTGAGGCAGCGGTGCTAACCACTGAGCCACCATGCTGCCTGATTCTATGAATTTTATTTTACATGAACATCTGAAACAAGGAACAAGAGTGGGTCACTTAGCTCCTTTGGCCTGCTCTTCCATTCAATAAGATCATGGCTGATTTGATTTTAATCTCACTCTACATTCCTGCATATTCTCAGTGATCTTTTATCCCCTTGGTAATCAAAATCTATCTATCTTTGCCCCAAAAATACTTAAAGATTCTGCATCCACTGCCTTTTGAGGAATGACATTCCAAAGACCCTCAACCCTCGGAGAGAAATAAATGTTTCCTTATTTCTGGTTTTAATGGGTGACCCCTTAGTTTTAAACTATGGCACTGGTTCTAGATTCTCCCAAAAGAGGAAACTTTCTTTTAACATCCACCTGATCAAATACCGTCAGGACCTTGTGTTTCAATGAAATCACCTCTAACGCTTTAAACTACAGAAGCCTAGCCTGTCTAGCCTTTCCTCAAGGCAATCTGCTCTTCCAGATATTAGTTTAGCAAACCTGTTCTGAACTACTTCCAATGCATTAACATCCTTCAACAATAACAGTGACCATTACTGTACACAGAAGCCCAGTTGTGGTATCATCCATGCCCTATATAACTGAAGTATAACTTTCTTACTCTTGCATTCAGTTCTTCTTGCAACGAAAAATAACATTCTATTAGCCTTCCTGATTACTTTTTGTACCTGCAAGGTTACCTGTACTCACCCTCTGCAATTCATGCACTTGGACACCCAGCTCTCTCTGCATTTCAGACCTCTCACCACTTAGATTTTTAAAACTTCTTTCTGCCAAAATGAACAATTCTACACTTCCCAGTGTTGTACTTTATTTTCCAGAACTTTGCCTGCTCACTTGCTCTATCTATAACTCTTTGTACGTTCTTTATGTCCTCTTCAAAACTCACTTTCTTATCTTTGTCACCAGAAAATTTAACTGCCATATCTTGGTTAACTTTATCCAAATTATTTGTATAATTTGTAGAGTCGAGGCCCCAGCATCAACCCCTGTGGTGCACAACTAGTGACATCCAAACAGTCTGAAAAGAACCATCAATTCCTAATCTTTACTACCTATTAGCCAGACAATCTTCTATCCAAGACAATATGTTACTCTCTATACCACGAGCTTTTATCTTCTGCAATAACCTTTATCAAGCTCCTCATCAAATACCTACTGGAAATCTAAATACACTATATCCACCGATTCTCCTTTATTTATAGCAGGAGTTATTTCCTCAAAGAACTCTAATAAATTAGCTAAACATGATTTCCCTTTGGCAAAACCATATTGACTCTTCCTGATTACTTTGAACTTATGCAAGTGTCCTGTTGTAACATTTTTAATAACAGCTTCTAACACTTTCCCTACAACAGATATTAAACTCTCCATAGGTATGTAGTCACTCAACAATGCATGTAACATTGACTGTATGTCACAAACTGCTTAAATAAGTAGACAGGCCAAGGGTTGTATACTGCCGACATGATAAACAACATCTACCTTGTAATCCAAGGGCCATTTTTGGGCCAAATCAGGTTTTGAATTTTCAGTTTTCAACGATTATTTAGCTATAATTGTTCCATCTATGCTCATTAAAGTGATCTCCTGTCAATGCTAACACAAATAATTTTAGAATGAAAGGCCCAATCCCATAACTTCCATTTTCATGTAAGGTGACACATTGAAAACATTCATGACATATCTACTAGTAAGGAAAGCAATGGTGCCCAATTAGTCGATTAGTGAAAACATGCTATTCCATGTTGTCTACAAATGAAGAAGGTTTACCCACTCTATCATTCACTCTTTCTTTAATAAAGATTGAGAGCCATCTGCCTCCAGTGCATTAACCTTCTTCCATGAGCCCAGACATGAGTCGATTAGCTTCTTTCAACCTCTAAACTGCTATCTTTTGCATAAAATAAGGATTGGTCCCATGATGAATCATAGATTAAAGATCTTTAAGTGGGTTTGAGATTTTCAGCTCGAGTGGCAAATTGTTCCTGTTAAAAACGGTTTGACCGTATAGTCAAATCTCTTCGTTGGTGGGGCTGATGTGGCTAAAAGGCTGCTTCACAGCAGGCCAAGCAGCATCAGAGGAGCAGGAAGGCTGACGTTTCGGGCCTAGACCCT